ATGAACACATTGGGACCTTTCACATGACACTGGGCCATAACACAGACAGTCTGTGGTTTGTACTTGTTTAACTTTTGTCTAGTTTCTGAACAGATATGAGGAGCTGTGAGCTCTGTGTGCTAACTGCTAACAGCTAACGGCTGATGTTTTCTGGTTGAACATCAGTGACGGCAGGCTGAGATCCTCACCTCTGATTGGCTTCCGCGAGAACGCGTCATGTGAATTTCACGCTCAAGTTGAAAAAATGGAACTCGCGTTTGACACGGCACCGTTCAATCGCGTCATTCGCGCCGCGTCCACCGCTTCATGCTCGCTGTCGGAGCGAATTCGCGTCTGTCCGCGTCTCTGCATTGACTTTACATGTAATCGCGCCGCCCCCAAACATCGCATCGCGTCCGGTGTGAACGCACCATTACACTCTTTACGTCACAAACAAAGATGGTGGGTGAGAATAGATCTATAAAACGATAAGCAATGCGCCAGAATCAAGGTGAGACTATCCGCATCCTTTAAAACTCTACGCACATTCGTTTCACCGAAATAAGTAAGCGACTGTATTTGAATGAGTTAAGGCATTAGTTTGCTTCATTAAAGCGTGTTAATGAATAAGTGTTCTCCAGTGCCTTTTGTCCGATTTAAGGTATTATTAAGGTAGGGTTAATGTTGCTCTCAAAGTGCACCAGATTGATGCTTTTAACTTCAATATTTAAAAAAATGTTTACCCGGGGGAGCATGCCCCCGGACCCCCCTAGAGGAGGCGACGACCCCCCTAAAGGATGTTCGGTCCACCCCCCACTTGTAAAAAATAGCACTGTACCCCTGCTTAGAGATGACTTGCCTTTGCAGATCACTTACATGCACTAAAACCTAAAAAGCACGATAAGGCCGATTTAGACTGAATATCTTTGGGTTTTGGACCTCACCTTTAGCATGAATGCCCTGTGACCTGTGAGCCCAATTAAACGTCTCTATTTTTTAAATCATTATCCATTTTAAAAGTAAGTATTTCATTTAGTTTTCTTCACATCAATGAATGAAATCCTTAGAAATAAACCAACATTGTATTAAAAATAAAACAAGTCGCCTTACGCTCCTTCAAAGTCCTCACAGCTTTGTGACCCTCAGGTCAGGCACCAGTGCATTTTTACATTACAGTACATGTTACTTATTAGACGCTTTTATCCAAAGCGACTTACATACTCAATACTGTGGGCAATCCCCAGGAGCAATTTGGGGTGAAGTGTCTTGCCCAGGGACTAGGGGTGTAACGGTTCACAGTAGTCACGGTTCGGTTCGTACCTCGGTTTGTGGGTCACGGTTCGGTACAACAAGAAAAAGTCCCAAATGCATAATTCCAGGTTTGTTGTTATTTATTTTTGAACAGTAGTGCAAGTTTCAGTTTAAAAATAAGGAACTCTGGCATTTTGAATACTTAACTGTATTAAACAGTTAAAAACAAACCACAAACAGCACCACACACACTCAGATGGCCATATTATCTATAATGGCTGATAACAAACAAAAAGGTTTCATCAAGCTGTCAAACTAAAAAGAATGTCTTGAAAATATTACATCATAAATAATAAAGTGTTTCGAGAGCGCAAAGTCGTTGAAAAACATATGCCAAAAGCTTCAGCTATTTATTTTGATCTCACAGCTTTCATGTCTATTGGTTTAAACAGCGGGGATCAGCTGTTGAACTGCTGTTGTCTTTTGCCGGGCTCCGGTGATTGGCAAATCTGGCTGATGCCTTCTGATATGATTTAGCATGTTTGGCGTGTGTTACCATTAGCATACCGCACCGCTGTCTAACAACGGCGACACACCGTCCTCGTCCGATCCACCACTCACACACTTCATCGTTATTGCAGTCCACAGGGAACCCGAAATGTTCCCACACAGTTGATTTAAAAGAAGCAGGTGGGTTCTAGCTCCTGTGTCCTTCTTGACCTGAGTGCGGCTTTCGACACAGTGGACCATACCATCCTCCTCCACCGCCTCGAGACCTACACCAGGGTGACGGACACGGCTCTAAAGTGGTTCTCAAGTTACCTCACCAACCGGAAGTACCACGTGTCTCTGGGGGGTTCCAGGTCTGACGACACCGCAGTGACATGCGGGGTCCCACAGGGCTCAGTGCTGGGGCCGATCCTGTTTTTAATCTATCTATTACCTCTGGGTCATATCATCAGACAACATAACATCAACTTCCACTGCTATGCCGACGACACTCAGGTCTACATCAAAACACAACCCAATACCACCACTATCCAAACACTAAACACCTGCCTGGAAGACATCCGCTCCTGGATGACCACCAACTACCTTCAGCTCAACAGCAGCAAGACGGAGGCAATCCTGATAGGCACCACCGACCAGCTTGCCAAGGCCAACATCAGCCCCTCCCTTGATGGTCAGCTCATTCCTCTCTCCTCCGTTGTCACCAACCTCGGTGTAAGGTTTGACCCCACTCTGTCTTTCCAAGCCCACATCAAACATATCACCAAGACCTCCTTCTTTCACCTGAAAAACATTTCCCGACTGAAGCCCTCACTCTCAACTGATGACATCAAAAAACTGGTTCATGCAGTCGTCTTCTCAAGACTAGACTATTGCAATGCACTCCTCTCCGGTCTCCCAGCCAAATCCATCAACCGCTTGCAACTTGTCCATGGACAGCACAGCCAGAGTTCTCACCGGTACAAAAAGGTCCGCACACATAACCCCCATACTTGCAAAACTACACTGGCTCCCGGTCCACTACAGGATCCAGTTTAAGGTTCTGCTCCTCACGTACAAAGCCCTGAATGAACAAAGCCCAAAATACCTCTGTGACCTCATCCATATACAGACATCTACCCGCTCTCTCCGCTCCAGCCACGCTCCTCTTCTTTACATCCCCCGCACACGTCTCCGAACAATGGGAGACCGAGCCTTCTGCTCACTCGCCCCGCGCCTCTGGAACTCCCTCCCAGATCAGCTGAGATGTGCCCCTTCCACCGAGGTCTTCAAAACCGGCCTTAAGACCCTCTTCTTTCGGCAGGCCTTCCAATAAACTTTGAGCATGGTACACCTGGAGTACTGCCATTTTTTATCGCTATCACCGACTTTTATTTTTGTACTTTATTTTATATTTTATTTTTTATTTTTTGATTTCTTATTATTATTACAATTATTTGTTTAATCTATCAAAGTGTATTAGTATCCTTTGTTGTTAAGCACTTCGAGATTTGTCTTGGCAGATGAGAAGCGCTATATAAATTAAATGTATTATTATTATTATTATTATCTGAACTCGCCATACTAACTTTTCTTCGTCTTGTATTTTGTTCTTTTTGTTGTTGTGTTTCTCTTCATTTGTTGTTTAAGGGCGGCTGGCAAACAGCTTTTAGGCGCAATAGCCCCCTGGATTATATATAGTGTAGTGGATACTGCCCTGAATGACAGACTTTTTTCCCACTCGTAAAAAAAAAAAGGTGTATCCGTCGTGTGACTGCATGTGCCGAACCGTGACGTCCGAACCGTGACGTCCGAACCGTGACGGATACGGATACCGTTACACCCCTACCAGGGACACAACGACATGCTGACTGCAGTGGGTTTGAACCTGTGACCCCCTGATCCCAACACCAAGGCTCTATCCACTGCGCCACACGCCTCCCTATTTGAGGATAGCAGGAGCTGACAGAGCGTACTTGGTCTTCCTGACATAACTTGAGGCACCATTAAATATTTCAAGCTTCCTCTGTTCCTGTCTGTCTGGATGACAATGCTGATCGCTTATTCAGGGAATCACTGGGTGACTCACCAGCTGTTCGACTGCCCATCTAATCTTTTGATTTACGGACTCGTTGATTGGCAGAAAAATGATTCATCATCTCATAACAATCTGCTTGTATCGTGGGTGTTGGACTAGTTCTATGTATCACTGTCAACAGCCGGGAGCAGTCAGTCAGTCAAACTGGTTTGGTTGTGTTTGCTTCTAACGCAATGAATGATGTATATTGTGGATGTCACACTTTACCCCTGCGCTCTTTAACCCTCGCTCATATAGTGACACCCTGCCCCTCCATCTTTCATTCGTATCATCTGCTTCTTCCTCTCTGTTTTTCTGTCTTGTTTTTTTTCACCTTTTTAACATTTTCTTATCTCCACCCTGTCTCAAAACTCTGCTGCTGTTTATCTCACTTTCTGTTATTCTCCACTCTTGTGACAGCTTGTCGGTGACATTTGGTATTCTTATGCCGTCTCACTTCGAGTGTATGACACAAAATATGTCATCATAAATGTGTGTCTGTATCGCACACACACATGCTGCAGCCATAATCAGCCACACACACTTCAAAGTGACTCAGCAGTTTTAACAGTGGAACAAAACAGCAGCTCTATTCTTGGTACACCTTTAACTCCTTTCTTCTCCTTCTTCTCCGCCGCTGGATGCCGGTGGTTTTTAGTCTAACTGTCATTGGCAGGGCAGAGGTGACTCGGTGGGGTTTAAAGACGAGCTTTGCTAAAAATAAAAACATTAGAGGAGACAAAAGAGTGAAAGAAAGGAGAGTGATTCAGTCAAGGAATGTAACGCTGTTTCCTGCTTCTTGACAAACAACTTCAACAAATGTAATGCAATGAATAAGCTTCATTGTCACTGAAGCACACATAACGTCATATCTAATATTTAAACAAATCATTTCCTTGTCCCTAAAGCATTGACTGAGCTATTTTTCGTCCTCAAATGCAGGCATTAAGTTACATGTTCACGTTCTTCTGCCACAATAAGTCGGTTTCTCCAGTGTAATGATAATAAAATGCTAAGTAAGTAGTGGTAATAATATTAATAAAAACAACAACGTTTGGGTTCGTTCGTTTAATATGATGAACGTTAACCAGTAAGCTTCAACAATCAACTCCAGCTCAACAAACCATATTGCAATATCTACGTCAACGTTATTTCTGGAACCAACTGGAAATGTGAGATTCATATTTTTCAGATACACAGATCTTATAGTGAGGTTAATCTATGGGTTAATCTCATACCGTACTCTGCTCTTCAACACTAATGTGACGCTAGCTGTCTGCATCGTCGAGCATAGCTATTTTAAATAGGCTACATGCACAGTCACTTCCGCATTCTACTCATAGCGGCCGATTCATTTCCTGTTTGAAAATGACGACCTTCTACACCCGCTGCCTACAAGAGCTTCCGAAATTAAAAATGTCAGATGTTCATCGGATTTGCCGGACGACTAAAGCCCCAGCCAGCAAACTCGATAAAGGCTTCAAATGATATGCTGCGTCATATATACACAACTATGAAGGTAAGAAGGTAACCGGTACTAACCAGCTAGCTTATGCTCCGGGTTACACTAACATTAGCTGTCAAAAGCTAGGTAACGCCAGAGCCCTATAGTATAACTACTATTATTATTATAAGAGAATATTTTAATCTGATCTGTTTATAGAGTTTCCTATAGTTTCTTAGATTCTGTGATACTGCAAACATCTGCTTGTAGTATCACTCAAAGACTCCTCTGTAAGTTGAGGTCACAGGTCAAACGCTTCTCCTATATCCGTGGGGGAGGGTTGAGACCTGGCTGCATCTCTTTGAGACAAGGAGATTATTGTCTCCCATTTTGCTATTGATTAGGTAAACACGGGCTTCTGTTAGCCCGCCTCTCCTCATGTTGATGCGTGTTGGGTCTATTCTGGGGCAGAGATCATGATGGTGGAGCACGGGACAGTGTGAAACTAAGATGATCTCCCCGGCCGTATTAATGTACTGTGATCAATAAAACTCTCAGTGCTTTGGCTAAACGACGTTCCAGACTCCTTCATTCTACCTCAACATTGCAACAACAGAAGTTTATCTTCACAATTATTATTATACTACTACTATAGTAGACTACTATAGGGCTCTGGGTAACGCTATGTACTGTTTCTGGTGTTAATTCTTTAAAACATTAGCCATTTTGCTAACAAATACTATCGTTTAATAGCCTTATAGCCTAGCCAAGGTTATCTTGTTGTTAGCCACACTGCATAATGGTATCAGCTTTTGTAAAGCAATGTTGCCATAGATGTGTTGACGTGAGTATAGATCTAACGCTGTTGCTCTGTTTTTCTTCATTCAGTGTCCAATAAAGACAGGCTGACAGGGCAGGTCAGCGTGAGAGCCTTGTGCTACAGGTCAATGCGGAAGAGCGAGACAGCACACAGTTTGAGTGTAGGCAGGCAGCATTGACACTGTTCCCCCCTGTTTATTGAGTTTCAGTTCAGTTAAACATTAGTTTACCTTAAGGGAATCTCAACAGTGTCCTACTTCTCCCTGCTTTATCACAGCTGATTGGTCAGATATTATTACATTGATTATGGATGTGTAAGTTTGGGGGTTCAAATATATAGTAAAAATTGCTTTAATACAATTTTCAAGGCATCTTAGTTTCCAAAGAAAGTTCATTGTGGTATTGTAGGGTAAGAGGGTAACACTAAGCATTCAGGAATACATGCTTCTTCTAGGATAATGGGTCAGTAAAAATAACCAATAATTCTACTCATAATAACCTCCTGGCTCATAGTAACAAGTGAGGTTACTAATCACTAGTATTTCTTCTCTCTTTTTTAGATAACGCTTCGTGATTCATCACCAGTGATGCTCACGCACAACCAGTGCTCCTGTGTTGCAGGAACTGTTTTGTGCAATCACACAGTAGCATTGCTGTTCCAAACAGTACACTACACTGAACTGAACATGCCAGTTGTGCCACCTGTGCATAGCTGTACTGAATCGGAACAGCAATGGCACAAGCCGCGAACAATGGTAATTTCAATGAGGTTCAAATACTTGTAATCTTTCACAGAGTTTTTGTTTTAAAGTGACTCAACGAACAGTAATTGTCTTTTCCTTAAGGGTGTGAAGCCAGGGCCCATCAACTCCATGGTCTTCACCAAGCCTGTACCAAATAGGATGGTGCAGACTGGAGTAAGGTAATTTTAGCTGGAAAATTGTGTTTCCTGTGTTTTTAAAATTCATAATTCTGGTGCTGTATTCCTAACCTTTATTGTCACATTAATGTGCTATATTGTCTTTGGCATTCTTTGTAGGAGTGGATTCTACAGAGGCATGGTGGGGCCATTACCAGATCCCTGCCTGTTCAGAGTTACGGAGGCATACTCAGCATTCAGCATTGAAGACAGGCCGCTTGTGACCACAATGAACATGAGACCTGACAAGCCCCTTGTGGAAAGTGCCTTCGGGATTGTGCAGGAGGGCAGTGTTCTGTCCTATCAGATGCCTGCTTTGACGTCTCGGTACACCACACTTCACACTGACACACCACCAACACCCCACTTGCCCATAGAGGGGTATGTGATCTTGCCATGTGATTTACCGCTGGTGTGCTCAGAAGAGGAGCAACTACATATGAACAGCTTATCTGTTGATTTGGAAATGTCTCACAAAATTGAGGAGGCTACCCGTGAGCAAAGCTCTAGCTCAGAGTGGCATCTGCTCCGCAAACCCAGGGTTACTGCCTCTAGGTTTAGAGAGATTTGTCACGTCAGAGGTGAGAGCTCTGCTAACTCTCTTGCAGAGCGAATACTCAAAGGTACAAGGCAGACTGCAGAAATGAGGAGAGGTGCAGAGATGGAGCCCACAGTAGCAGCTGAATACAGTAGACTGGCAAACGTGAACTACTCCCCTTGTGGCCTTGTCATTCACCCCTCTACGCCCTGGCTTGGTGCCTCCCCTGATGGAGTTGTTTTTTATATATATTGTTTGTCACATTTCATATATGTAACTAAATATACAATTGTATTTAAAAAGACAATAAAGTGAAGTGATTTGTGTAATGAATAGTAAATCATTGCATTTGTAAGAAATCATCAACGCATTGTAATTTGCTATTTACCATTTATTCAAACAAAACACTAGCGTGTGTCAGGCAACACGGGATTACGGTGTGCTCACCCAGCTTAATCACAGCTACCTGCACAGGTGTCATCATCTTGTCTTATTTCACCCATTTCTTGACCAGTGCTTTGTTCTGATAGTTTGACAGCATACATGCTACTGCAAACAGTTGGTTGATGTTGTAGGCATGGGACAGGAGGATGACACCATCAAAAAGTTTGTTCTCTTTTATCCTCCTAATGACACGCTCCACATGAACCCTCAGTCTGGCAATGGCCTGTGTCTCCCTCACCTGGCATTTGCTTCTGCTTTGACAGAAAAGGTGGGCAGTACACCTTGCATTTGCAGCAATCGCTGATCAGGAAGCCCTTATCTACCATCACTGCCATGTTTTCAGTCAACAACGCAGCTATTCCAGATTGTTTGAAAATCTCCTTGTCGCTGACAGAACCACCATACAGACTGGAAACAAATGTCACTGCGCCATGTGGGGCTATGCCAACCAGGGCTTTCATGGTGCAGTGAGATTTGTATGTAGAATACATTTCACTTTGGAGGAGGAGTGAGGATGGTGTTTGACACCTCAGCTCTGTGCAATCCAGGATCACCTGTGTGTCTGGGAAATCTTTGAATGCCTCTGGGAGGTGGGCTTGAACTTCTGCAGGTGTAAGCCAGATGCACTGTGACCCCAATAAAGTTGTAAGAAAACTCGTCCATGTTGCAATGATGCGGCTCACAGTGGACTGGTGTACGTTGAAGCGGTTTGCAAGGTCCCTCTCTTTCAAACCCCACCGACAGGAAGCAGAGAAAAAGGAAGAACTCGTCAATTGGCTGAAGCAGCTGTCTCTGGAAGATAAACAAAAAAAGGGTACTATATTAATGTCATGAGTGTAGCACACCATGGGAAAAACATTAAGTTGTTTTAGTTCTCTGATGTATTCAAAAAGGATTGAGTACTATAGCCTTTTAGCCTACACGAAAGCAATGAAATGTCGGAGAAACATTTTCCCTTCAGTTTGTGTTTAGATTGTGTGTTAAAAGAAACGTAGCCTACCGGACGTGCGTGTGTAACCACTTCTTCATTCCTCTTGGCAGCTGATATCGCTCTTGTAACACGAACCATTTTATAAATGGAAGGCTCAATCAAAAACCAGAAGGCCATCAGGTGGTTATAGCTCGGGAATCTGTACACAAAAGACACATGTCAGTCATTAATTGACTCGTTAACTGTAACACATGGGCTAATGCTTTCCTCTTGTTTGCTATAATACATTACAATTCAAATAGACTGATTAAGAAGGCACTTGGTGCAGGTATAGTAATATACAGCAGTAACATGTAACAACTACATTAAAGCAGCAGTAATAATAATCTAAAACATACAGGGAACATTTTACACAGAATGACTACTTTTACTCTTCTTAAGTGTGCAACTGGGAGAAACGCAGTGGATATTGACATGTACTTTTACTTTGGTAAGGTTTTGAAGATTTCCACTTGTAGTAAAGTATTATCAGTATGTTGTTAGTATTAGTATGTTTTACTCCACCACATTTAGTTAACCTTCATAGTTTCTAGTTACTTATGAAAACACATGATTTATGATTCTACATGTTCAGTTCAGGAGTATTTTCAAACCATAGTATTTGTACTTATACTTCAGTTAAGTTGAGTAGCCTACTTATTCCAACACTGCATGCAAATAGTCAGCAGTCAAACGGCAGGTAAACAGGATTCTTTATAAGCTAATCCATCTCAAAAACTTGGATAGAATTTAGCCAAAACATTACCTGGTATAGAATCGGATGTTGTCGTCGGAGCCAGCAAACCGCTGTAAGCAAAACTCTCGCTGGACTTAACTCTTAACTCCTGCAGTTGCTTCTGAAGATCCTCCAATGTTTTGGAGTTGTCTTCTGTAGCTTGAGAGGACATGTCCAGTGAAGCTGGTTCAGGGGTTGAGCAGTAATCATGGTCACGGACATCGATGTGCTCTTCCTGCTCCTCCCGAGAGACTGGTTCAGTGGGCCGCTCCCTTCTCTCCCAAACACTAGCCCGCGGTGTTTGAGCAGTGAAGTGATTCCACTCAAACAGAGTTGGGACAGCACCTTTCACAAGCCTCCTAAGGCCATCAAGGGTTTTTGGCTCTATTAGTTGATCCGTAGCGAAGTGACGACTGCAGACCTTGGAGTGAGAGGAGATTGTAAAGTTATCACGTCGTATTTTAACCAGCCACTGTCTTCGCAGCTCGAGTTCGGTCGGAAAGCCATGGAAACTTAGGACGCCGTTGAATTTAGCTGACGCCGTACAAAGTGGGACACAGCAGTGCTCGGAGTAGTTATTTACTTGTCTTTGCAAATGCTCCATTTTGAAAATCTTCCGTCGACTCATATTTAAACCACAGATTTAAACAGTAAAACATTTGTGGACGCTCAGCTACGCAGACCAGAAGCAACCCGGAAGCGTCCGAGCAGTATAACGGCTAAGGCGGAAGTACGTCTCAGACCCTAGTCCTAGTGCATGTAGCCTATTAACAATAACAATGCATACAGTTACCTAACTAGCAAACTAACTAATGTACAAGCATGACCTTATTTTACCAACCTCACCGAGAAGCCTTATGTTTTACAGTATAATCCTTCTTAATGTTTTACACTTCTCTATTATGTTTTAACTTGTATGCTACGGATACCATCGTTAGCACAGATGTAGCTTCGTCTCGCTTGTTAGCTGAATAAAAAGACAAGTAAGAAATAAAGTGCTTGAATTTCACTTACCGAATAAACTGCATTCATGGACGGTCTGTTTGAACCGCAGAGCCATAAGATAAGTGCGATATTTCAATGAAGAATACTCCACCAGGCATCAACACAACAAACACGTCCGAGTAGCAGCCTGGAGCTAATGAAGCTAACGGGGCTAGCAAAGAGACCACTAGCAGATGACTTCCGTTACATTAGAATGACTTCCGTTACATTAGAATGACTTCGGTTACAGCAAGAATCCCCTCACACACACATAGGTGAAACACATGCACATTCCCTACTGAGAACCTTTCAGTAAAATGTTTTTCAGGAGTGTGTGTGTGTGAGGTTAATTTTCAGTATTGTGTGTGTGAGGTGTTCAGTAGTGAATGTGAGAGGATTTCAGTAGTGTGTGTGTGAGGCTTAATTTTCAGTAGTGTGTGTGTGTGAGGTGTTCAGTAGTGAATGTGAGAGTATTTCAGTAGTGTGTGTGCAAGGCCAGATGTGTTCAGTAGTGTGTGTGTGTGTGTGTGTGTGAGGTGTTCAGTAGTGAATGTGAGAGTATTTCAGTAGTGTGTGTGCAAGGCCAGATGTTTTCAGTAGTGTGTGTGTGAGGTGAGTTTGAATTTTGGCCTACACGGCCCCTCATATGTGTGTGTGTGACTGTCATCAAGCGTTGTTCAGTCACACACACTTAAACACAGACGCCTGACTTCTTTGTGACAATTAGTATTAAATTCCAATGAGATCTCTCCTGGCATGCACACAAGATACAACGACATATGTATGAAGCAGGTTGTCTCACGGCTATTCAAATACTATTGCCCTATCACATAGTTCTGTAACACACCCTTTGATGGAAGTATATCAAGGGCTGCAAGGTTGTTGTTTTACTTAATTGAATTGAATAATCATTACGTTTATAAACGGTCGGAAACTATTACATTCCTAGAGTTCGTAGAGCCTCGAGGTAATGTCTACAAATTGCGTTTTTATCCAACTAACCATACAATTGCAGACGTTTCATTTACAGTAGAGAGGAGCAAGAACCAGCTATTATTGATATTTTTGCTTTATAATTCACTTTAACCATTTTATTAATGCAATAATAGCTGATACATTTTATGACACTGCGATTGATTAAAGAGATATTTTTTAGCATATTCTATGCACAATTAACTGCACTGTTTATTTATAACTTGCACCAGTCACATCACGTCCTTTTTCAACAATTGCTATTTCAAAGGATGTAAATGTCAGGGGACCGTACCGAATGCAAAGAAAACACATCATTCTTTGCGATTAACCTGCATTTCGGGGCCCGAATTGTGAAATATCATAGCAAATGTCATGAAATTGCAAGTTATACATGAAATGAAATGGTTTTTTTTACATTAAATTGCAATCTGGGTCAATACAACGACCTATCTCAATTTCTGAACGAACCTGGGGCAGGATAATGCGATAATGCTATAATATGCTATAATATGTTAAAATGTAAATGACTGTGATATCCTCTGTAGAAATACGGTCCTATTGCTGGAGAACTGGATGGTTCCCGATGTATTAGAGTGCCCTTGTGGTATGTACCAATTTAATTTAGTGTTGTTATTTTTCTTTAATGTAAAGTCAAGTAGTTGTCCTGTGTATATATGTATTGCTTTTGGCTCTATGTCTTTGTCCTATGTATGTGATTTTTTGTAAGCTGAAAATCAATAAACATATTGATAAAAAAAAAAAAATTTGGGACTTAAAGGCAAGAAAAGGACAATATGGAAAACATTGCACAATGTGTCACACAGTTCAATTCAGAAACTTTGAAGCAGACAAACTGCATCAGCAAAGAGGAACAGTGACTCATATGCAGGGGTGTAATATAACTAACAACTAACTTAAGTATTTTTCAAATACTTGTACTGACTAGTTCTGTTTTGTACTACTCCAATATATTTAGGCTCAAATATCATACATTTTACTCCATTACTATTATTTATCACTCCGATTTACTTGTTACTTTAATAATAATAATAATAATACATTGATTTCAAAGCACCCAAGGACACCTCCATAAATCCATAAAATATTCTGAAAACTGTACAAAAGGCCAGTAACAGGCGACATGTAGCACTACAGTGAGTAGGCGGATCTGAACAGCTGGGTTTTGAGGAGGGACTTGAATGCAGTGATTGTGTCAGACTGTCGGATGTGTTGGGGGGGAGTTTCAGAGTCTTGGAGCAGTGCAGCCAAAAGCCAGAGCACCCATGGTGACGAGGGGTGGGGACGGTAAGTAGACCAGCCAGGGGGTTTAAGAGGTCGGCCAGATAGGTGGGGGCAAGGTTGTGGAGGGCTTTGAATGTGGGGAGGAGGTTTTTGTCCTCAATCCGGTGTTGTATAGAGAGCCAGTGCAGTTGGATGGGGGTGATGTGGTCAGTAGACTTGGTGCGGCTGATGATCCGGGCAGAAGAGTTCTGAATGATTTGGACTTTATTGAGGAGTTTGATGGGAAGGCCAGAAAGGACAGCATTGCATTGTGTTAGCATTAATCAACACATATTCTCTGTGGCAGCCCCGAAGCTCTGGAACTCCCTCCCCCAATACCTCCGTGAGTCTGAGTCCCTCACCCTGTTCCAGTCCCGCCTCAAAACCCACCTCTTCAACTCTGTATCCATAAGCCCCGCCCCCCCTCTCAATCAACTTCCTCCTGACTACTTTTCTGTTTTGTTTTGTTTTTCTACCCTCCCTCCCAAATGTAAAGTGTCTTTGGGTTCAAGAAAAGCGCTATAGAAATAAAATATATTATTATTATTATAACAACAACAAAATGCAAATATGATGCAGTACTACTGATATGATACCGTACTACTTACCTACCCTAATCATAACTAACATTGGCTCAACATTGATCAACTACAACGGTAAAACAATAGTAAATGTATTTATTGGTGATAAAACTGAATAATATTCTGTTATACTGTGAAAAGAGTCTTTTGCAAACTGAATACTTTCAAGTCTCAAATACATTCAGCTGAAAGTACTTCTGTACCTCTACTTAAGTAACACTTTCAATCCAAGACTTGTAACGGCCCGTCCACACAGCGGCGTGCGTTGAAGCTTCCAACGCTTCTGCCCATTCACTTTGAATGGGGTGACGTCACTTTTAGCCGAACTGCATTTTGGGAAGCGACGTGGAGCGTTGCTCGCTTCAAAAGTTGAGCAATGTTCAACTTTTGACGCCTCGGCAGAAGCGCCAGCCAATGAAATCCCGTTTATGCAAATCTGCCAGTACAAGCGCTAGCCAATCAAACCGCGTGTATGCTGGGAGAGACTACGCAGGTCATTTCCTCATATTCCAAAAAATGGAGGGAAAGTTCATTATAGCGGTAGTGAATCACCCAGTGCTGAATGATCAGTCTCTGTTCATCTCCCGGGATACAAACCGGAGGAGCGAGGCATGGATGGAGGTGGCAGAGACAGTGGGTGAAACTGGTAGGTTTTCGCCTGTTTGGGGATTTTATATCCAGTTTACTTCGTTTTAACATTGCTATTGCTTTGTATGTCGGGGGCGGGAGATTCATGTGATTGGTTGTTGGTCGCAAAAAATCCCCAAGCTTCAGATACGCCCACCGCCAAGCGTCAACGCACGCTGCTGTGTGGACGCTCCGTAATGTATTTGAAAACCATAGTATTTCTACGTTTACTTAAAGGATCTGAGTACGTCTTCCACCTCTGCTCCTATGTTTGTATCAACAGACACTAAAGTAAATGTTTTTGAACAATAATCTCCAAGCTCTGAAGTTTAAAGAGGTAAATGTAATCACTTTATTGAAATGATTTGTCATTACATGTTAAGGAAGATCGGTCCAAGTTGTTACCGTAAATCACATAACAACTATTTGTTGCAACAGAAACAAAACCTTTTTTACAATGTTTAATCTTACTTGTAATATATGTATTCTAAGATTACACATGAATAAGAATAAATACAAACAAACAAACAAATTATTCATAAACTAATTGAGCATAGTACATTTGAAGCTGTGTATTTTAAACAAAGTGTCTTCATGTCACTCAGTAACCTTCACTGCTCCACACACACTAACTCATACACACATGCATTCACTTTCCCTTTAGCACACGGTAAACATACTTAAAGTTTGCAGGTTTCTATGTGTTTAGACCCACGTTTCACACACACACACACACACACACACACACACACACACACACACACACACACACACACACACACACACACACACACACACACACACACACACACACACACACACACACCACACACACACACACTCCTGCACAGCGAGAGAGGGCTTTGTGAGTATCCTCAGAGTGTGTGGCCCAAATATTCCCAACACAATGTCCCTCTGTGACTCTCTGCTAGATCTCTTCATGGGAATGGTGCCAACCACTGGAGCAAATCCTGAGTGTATAGGTCCAAATCTTCTTTTTTGTATATATAAGATTAGTTGTGGGATCAGGTGGAAGTGATTGATGAGCTCGTAGCAGCTGATTGGACGAGGCTTGTGATTGACAGGTGGCATCACAGGGGAAATGGAAGGAATCTGTGACATAATGAGCAGTTCAGTTGTTCCTCGTCAGTGATTGGACACAGCAGGTGAGCGGTGTGAGGGGGCGGGGTTAAGACCTTTTATGACACCTTGGGAGCGTTTGTGTTTGATTGACACGTCACGTCATTGGCAGTGGTAAATGGGCTGGACGTACTCCGGGGGGAAGTGGCCCACGTGTCCATGGCAACGGCCCCTCCAGCGCTGCGAATCAGAGCAGTCCATGAGTTCGATGACATCACCGCGCAGGAAGCGTAGCTGCGACGGGTGGTGGGGGGTGAAGTCGAAGAGAGCGTGGGCATGATGGGGACGCTGTGGGGGGGAGAGTGAGAGAAAGAGAGTTACTGAAATGAACTTCATTTGTCCGTGGCAGTATAACAAAAAAGAAGTGTTCAGGTTAAGTGACATTGTGTCAATTTAATAAATTATGTTCTCTGTTTTTCTCTCAAAGTACAAGCATATTTTATTCATATCTTTCATTTAACATTTATTTATCCAAATCATTGTCGGTCAGTCCATTCCTCGGCCTGTGAAATATTCATATGATGAGAAATGTCTGACCAAAACAGTAGCAACCGCACAGAGGAGGAAGACTAATATTAATTTCTGTTATAAACATCATTACTGCAACGGTTCACCTAAATACTACCCTGTTGACAAGAGTGACAGCTAGGTTTTATATTGATGATGGATTTCAAAAAATGATGTAATGTTTAGAAATCCTTAAATGCTTGTTGAGGGTTATTTAAAGGAATAGTTCTACGTTTTGGGAAACACTTTTATTTCTCAAGCGATAAAAAGGAAGATTGATGCCATTTCGGTTGTGATGGTATCAATCTTATCATCTCTCGGCAAGAAAGACAGAATTTCCAAATATGTCTGACTATTGCTAAGAAGGAAGGAGGAAAAAGGTATCTTTGGGTTGTGTAGCTTCAAGGGACATTTTGTGTGATGAAATCTAAAATTCCTGTTAAATCAATTTATCCCCGTTATGCTTATCCTCTTATCCTAAAACTCAAGACATGACATTCTCAAACCTTTATTTTTCCACACCTGAGGACATAAGTTTATTTTAAGTAGATACTGTACATACATTTTGATAAGAGATTATCTTTTGGGTCACAGCTGCAGGTCACAGTTGAATTCACTGAATTCTTATTCATAAAAAATCTTTATAAGCTCTGTTCATTTTTTGTCTAAATGTGAGCTTTAAAGTGGACCTATTAAGCTATATTGGAAAATATATTGTCGGGCCATACCTATACAAAACATGTCTGTGAAGTTTTTTGCTTAAAATACCAAACAGATCCCCCATTGTAGCCATGCCTCATACTGCTCAAACCCCTCTTTTGCAGCCCTGTAAGAGAAACGCGGATTTTGGGTCCTTAGCTTAAAAAAAAAAAAAGAGGAGGCGGAGCTAATGCCTGATCAGAATTCTACCGGAGATAAAGTACAATTCTGCTGTGATAAAACCCCATCCTGTTCTAAACCACATCAAGGATTATTTCTGAAACAGCATGGAGCTCAAATGCTTTTTCTCTTGCAGGTTTATCACAAGGTGAGTTCCTTTTTTTATTTCCTGCTTTTTAAACACATGTTAGAGTGTTAGCGAGGCTTGCTAATGTAAACAAAGACGAGATTACGTCTAAAACACGTCAGGCATTGTTTCTGATAGCAATTTTCTGTGGGTCCGCTGCCGATTTGACGTCAGATCGGCAGCAAATCTGTATCCGCTCGTTGTACCCGTTTTTAAAAGATTTGGGTACGGAAGAAAAGAGAGAGGGTTTTATTTTCTGACGCTGCGTGAGTTCCCCGACGCACCGGGGACACATGTTTATGTATAAAAGACATCACAAAGTGTATTTTGCACGATAGGTCCCCTTTAATATGGCAGAGCAACTTTTGAAATAATGACAAAGTGATTTGAGGAGGTCATGAAAAAGAAGAATAGTGTAAGACATACAGAATGTGATGACGACATGAAAACAGCCCTCTGTTGAAATTGTGATTTGTAATGGTGAAAGGCGTACTGCTTTCAATTGAACCTGCAGGTGTGGGCCTTCTCTGTCTCACTTAGGTTTACAAAAGTAGTCTTTCTTCTCCCCTGATCGACAGCCTCCTCTGATCTCTGTTGACTCGTGAAGTAAAAGCAATTTAAGAGTAGCAGAATAAAAGTGGCTATTTTAAGAAATCTTGAACTAAACTAACGTCTTAGCTGTCAGTTGCACTCCGACAGAGAAACGATATATGAACTGGGAGAAAGCCGAAAGACTGAAACGAATACCAATATTGTATTTTTTACGTGTGAGTGTTTCTGGGCTGTGTTACTGCTGTGGAGTGCTTTGTGTTGGACCAAGGCCCTGTCATCCAGGGATGTCATCCAGGCACACAAACACACTCTAAGCAGACAGCAGGATTAGGATCAAGACACACAAACACAATCTATCAATCCCACAAATCTGTAAAATCCTTGCATATCCTAGATTTCTTTTTTGTGTGTGTGTTCACGCACACACCCTCTTCCTGTGTATCTGGGTGTGAGCGAGCAAGTGTGTGCAGACCCCTGTGTGTTCAAGTGTGTGTGTGATAGCACAGGGAAAACTCATTCATTTCCCATGGCAGTTCATGAGGAGCGATGGTTTGGAAAGAGAAATATGGTCGCCACGTATCAGCTGCGCTTGGCTGCCTTGTGATCAACGTCCTCAGAAGGAGATAAGAAGCGATCTAGTGCTAAGTATTTAACTGATACAGAATTAGTTTTGAAAAAACAACTTAACGATAAGACGTACGATACAAAAAGCAACAAGAACCGAGATTACGTTTAAAGAGGACCCTATTATGCTAATTGTCAGGGTCATATTTGTGTTTGATGTCTCTACTGTAGGGATGTGCATCTCCATCACTGAGGCCGATGCGATGCGCATCTCGATACATTGCCACGATACGATACATTAACGATACATTTGAAACACCAGGCGATGCGATACGATACGATTCACCCCTGTTGCGATACAGTTCGATACGATTTGATTCAACATTATGCGATTCGGTGCGATACGATGCGATTCAACACGATGCAAAAATAATGATACTTCAATTTGGTACGACAGAGGATTTTTGTTGTATTCCTTATATGCAGCAAATCATACATTAACAAAAAAGTGCTTTACATATTTGGTACTGCACATCCCATCATGCCGTTTATTTTTTTACCTTTAAAAGCTCTCCAGAGTACAATTGTATAACACCTCACAGTTAAACAATGTAAGGATGCATTGCTCATGATTAACAATGTGCAAATAACAGCTACCATAGTGCAACGCCCATACAGCTGCCAGCCTGATGTGTTTAACACTCATTCATAGGCTAACTCACCAGTGAGCAGAAAGCGGTGGGTTCTATATGAACAATAAATAATACAAATAACCTTTCACAAACAGGTATTTCATAACTGCTTACAGTGAGGAATACATTTAAATTATTATTGGCCGTCACAGGCTGCTGTAAACTAAACACCACTCTCTCTGACAGAACACCTCACTGAGTGATTTAACTCATATGTCTAACTTTGAGGTTTCTCTTTTCAGCCGCAGACCCCATGTCGCCTCTTTATGTGCGTCGCTAAGTTCCTCGTACTACTTGTGTACTTTAAATCGGCTCGGCATCGTTAACAATTTGCGAGCGATTTTTCAAGTTGACCGTCTGTGCCGCGCACATATACCATCAGGACGTTACTGATGGGGTGCGGCTGCGGAGTGATACTGTGTGTATGCAAGCCCGCATCTAGGACGGATCTATGTATCATGGCTGTAGACCTGTTAAGTAATAAAGATACCTCATACAAAAGTCTACGGATACCTTATTACTCTCCATGACCTGCGGTCAACTATATAGCCTAGCATAAAGGACTATTACACCGTCTTTCTTGAACAATCCGAAGTGTTACCAAACGTTTGATTTGTAGGTATTTTTCGGTGCGCTGTGTTTCTCTTTCTCCTCGACTTCCGTGTGTGTTGATAACTGAGACTCTCGGCCTCCGTAGTGGCGAAGCAAATATCAAAGATCGTCTCTGCTGAGCGTTGACAAGATTAGGGGATTTTATATGAATGAATCGGTTTTTTACCGATGCAAAGACGCTACGCAATCGATGCATCGCGAGTTCAACCCGGTTCAACCCAAACTGTAGCCGATGTGCACTCTTTCAACCGGTGCACTCGCATCTTGAACGTTTATGCCGGTGCACCGATGCGAATCGGTGAATCTTAACATCTCTACTCTACTGTGACATGTTTCCACGCTTTAATGTTCAAAAAGCTCTTTATTTTTCTCATAGTGCTGCAGCACCTCTTTTCACCCTCTGTCTGAAACCAGAGCCCAGTCTGCTCTGATTGGTTGGCTCTGTTGTGATTGGTCAACCACTGAGAGATGTCCTGCCCCTTAGCCAATCACGTGCCAAGGTGTTTGAGGGCTAGCCAATAGAAGCACAAGTGTTGCGTAGTGATGTCACCATGTTCTTGAAGTAAACAATGGAGGTGTTTCACGCACAAAACCTAAATAACACACTACGGGAAAGTGGAAACTGACCAATAGAGTCATAAACTGAAATAGAGAGAAATCATATGGAGGTGGAAAAAAAACATATTGTTATGAAATATAACGCATAAGGTCAGCTACGTTTCTTTTTCATGCATTGATTTCAGAGTCAAAGTCTTAAGAGGGTTATGCCAGAACTAGATTGTTATCGTTGTGCTGTTAGTGTCAATGTGAAGTGAAGATGATGCTAGTAACTGAAGAAATGGGTTTACTATAAATATTTGAGATACAAGGTCGGAATTAGACAAAGCAAAGACAGAGAAACAAGTTCCTAAATAATCTGGCAGGGAATTTAGGTATGAGGCAAAATAAATGTCTGCATCTTAAAAAAAAGTCCTCATGTTTGCTCCTTGGTATCATAATGTGTGTAATTTCGCTAATGGAGTGTAGACTATGTTACACACAGTGTTGGGACTAACGCAGCACACAGTAACGCGTTACTGTAACGCCGTTATTTTTGGCAGTGACTAGTACTCTAACGCATTACTTCTTAAATTACCGTTACTATCTGGTGCGTTACTCCGTTACTGCGTTAGCCAGACGAACAGAGATGAGAACTGTACTTAAGTACAGTACTTGAGTAAATGTACTTAGATACTTCCTGTGTCACATGCGGAGACGCGCTGTGGGCGTGTTTGTGTTGTTTACTAACAAGACTATCATGGCGGCGGCGGAGCTCAAGTCTAGTTTCTCCACCTGGAGATATTCTCACTATTTCA